GCGACATCTGTCACTGCTCTGTACACCAGAGAGTTGCATTGCTACCAAGTTTCATACCAAATATTTGGAAGGATGGTACTAAATCTAAAACCAAATCTTAGTTTTTATTAAATTCATGGAAAGGCTAATATATTCCAATGTAATTATTACATAGAGTTAAATCACATATTAATTTATTTTAATGTAAATATTTTTATGTTACTGTTCTGAGCCAAATTCTAAAGAAAAAATAAATCTTTGTGGAAATCCTAACATTTTTGCATTTTGTTTTCTTAGTTAAAATCCCTTTTAGGAAGAGATTTCTATTGTTGCACTGCTTACTTTTCGAAGGTGATGTAACTTCTTAAGGCATCTAATATGAATTTCTTAAAAACGACAAAATTTTTTTTGATAATAGGAAGCATGCTATATAACATTTATATATATTGAAAAATGATCACCACAGTAAAAGAACCATCACCTTACATATAGAACTTCTCTTTCTTGTAATGAGAATGTATAAGATCTAGTCTTATAGCAGCTTTCAAATATACAGCTAAGGCATATATATATAGTATAGACACACTTCATTTTATTGTGCTTCACAGATAATGTGTTTTTACAAACTGAAGGTTTATGGCAACCCTGTGTCACACAAGTCTCTTGGCACCATTTTTCCAACAGCATTTGCTCACTTTGCGTCTCTGTGTCATATTGTAATTCTTGTAGTATTTCAAACTTCGTTATGTTTGTTGCAGTGATCTGTGTTCATTGATCTTTGATGTTATTGTAATGTTTTGGGGCACCATGAACTGTACCCATATGATGGTGAGCTTAATCGGGAAATAGTCTGTGTTCTGACCAGTCCATTGACCTGCCTCCATCTCTCTCCCTCTCTCCATACCTCCCTATTCCCTGAGACACAATATTGAAATTAGGCCAATTAATAACCCTAACAATGGCCTCTATGTATTCAAGTGAAAGGAAGAGTTACATGTCTCTCACTTTAAATCAAAAGCTAGAGATAAGTGAGAAAGGCCTGTCAAAAGCCGAGACAGGCCAAAGCTAGGTTTCTCATGCCAAATAGCCAAGCTGTGAACGCAAAGGAGAAGTTCCTGAGGGAAATTAAAAGTGCTACTCAAGTGAACACACAAAAGATTAAGAAAGCACAACGGCCTTACTGCTGATATGGATAGTTTCAGTGGTGGATAGAAGATCAAACCAGCCACAACATTGCCTTAAGCCAAAGCCTCATCCAGAGCAAGGCCCTAACTCTCTTCGATTCTGTGAGGGCTGAGAGAGGTGAGGAAGCTACAGAAGAAAGTTGGAAGCTAGCAGGGGTTGCTTCATGACGTTTAAGGAACGAAGCCGTCTCCATAACAAAACTGCAAGGTGAAGCAGCAGGTGCTGATGTAGAAGCTGCAGCAAGTTCTCCAGAAGATCCAGCTAAGATCATTCATGAAGGTGGCTCCACTAAACAACGGATTTTCAATGAAGATGAAACAGCCTCTATTGGGAGAAGATGCCTTCTAGGACCTTCAGAGCTAGAGAGAAGTCAATGCCTGGCTTCAAACTTTGAAGGACAGGTTGACTCTCTTGCTCGGGGCTAATGCAGCTGGTGACTAAGTTGGAAGTGTTTATACACTATTCTGAAAATCCTAGGCCCTTAAGAATTCTGCTAAATCTACTCTGCCTGGGCTCTGTAAATGGAACAAAGCCTGGATGACAGCACATCTGTTTACAACATGGTTTGCTGAATATTTAAGCCTACTGTTGAGACCTCCTGCTCAGAAAAAAAGATTCCTTTTGAAATATTACCCCTCATTGACAAGGCACCTGGTCACCCAAGAGCTCTGATGGAGATGTACAATGACACGAATGTTGTTTTCAAGCCTGCTAACAAAACATCCACCCTGCAGCTCATGGTCGAGGAGTCAATTTCAACTTTCAAGTATTATTGTTTAAGAAATACATTTCATCAGGCTACAACAGCCACAGATGGTGATTCCTTTGACGGATCTGGGCAAAGTTAACTGAAAACCTTTTGGAAATCACCATTCCCGATGCCATTAAGAACATTCATGGGGGGGGCGCCTGGGTGGCTCAGTTGGTTAAGCGACTGCCTCCGGCTCAGGTCATGATCCTGGAGTCCTGGGATCGAGTCCCGCATCGGGCTCCCCGCTCAGCAGGGAGTCTGCTTCTCCCTCTGACCCTCCCCCCTCTCATGTGCTCTCTCTCTCGCTCTCTCAAATAAATAAATAAAATCTTAAAAAAAAAAAAAAAAACATTCATGGGGCACCCGGGTGTTTCACAGTTGGTTGAGTGTCCAACTCTTCAGCTCAGGTTTTAACCTCAGGGTCGTGATTCAACTCAGGTTTTAACCTCAGGGTCGTGAGTTCAAGCCCCACGTTGCACTCCATGCTGGGTATGGAGCCTACTTAAAAAAAAAAAAAAAAAGATTTGTGGAAGAGGTCAAAATAGCAACAGGAACAGCAGTTTAAAAGTTGATTTAACCCTCACAGATGACTTTGAGGGGTTCAAGACTTAAGGAAGTAAGTGCAGATGTGGTAGAAATAGCAAAAGAACTAGAATTAGAACTGGAGCCTGGAGATATATCTGAATTGTTATAATCTCAGGATAAAACTTTAACAGATGAGGAGTTGCTCCTTATGGATGAGCAAAGAAAGTGGTTTCTTGAGATGGAATCTACTCCTGATGAAGATGCCGTGGAGACTGCTGAAATAACAAAGAATTTAGAAATTACATAAACTTAGTTGATAAAACAGCAGGGTTTGAGAGAATTGACTCATTTCAAAAGAAATTCTGTGGGTAAAATGCTATCAAACAGCATCAAATGTTACAGAGAAATTGTTCATGATGAAAGGAGGAGTCAGCTGATGTAGCAAACTTCATTGTCTTATTTTAAGAACTTGCCCAGCCACCCCAGCCTTTAGCACCCACCACCCTAATCAGTCAGGAGCCATCAACTTCGACAGCAAGGCCCTCCACCGACAAGAAGATTACAACTCGCTGAAAGCTCAGATGATGGCTAGTATTTTTTAATTAAGGTATGTAAATTTTTTAGACATAATGCTCTTGCACACTTAACAGACCAGTATAAGCATTTATATGCACAGGGAAACCAGAAAACTCATTTGACTCACGGTATTGCGATGTTCTCTCTGTCACAGTGCTGGGGAGCTGAGCGTGCACCATCTACAAGGGAGGCCTTGCCATGCTGTACATCACTTCCCTGTGACTTGTTTTATAACTGGACATTTGTACCTTCTGACTCCCTTTACCCATTTCACCCACTCCCTCCCCACCCTTCACCTTGGACAACCACCAGTCTCTTACTGGTTCTATCTATGAGCATGGTTGTTGGTTTCTGGTTTTTAGATGCCACATACGAGTGAGATCACAGAGTACTTGTCTTTCTCTGACTTTGCCCTCAAGGTCTATCCATGTCACAAATGGCAATATTCTGTTCTTTTTTTATGGCTGAATAATACTTCATTGTGTGTGTGTGTGTGTGTGTGTATGTATGAAAAAATATCTATATACAGAAAATGTATAAAAATTTGTAGATACACATATTTGTATATACACATCTATATACACATATTCTTGTAGTTTTATTTTTAAATCTTTGAGGAACCTCCACACCGTTTTCCACAGTGGCTGCACCCATTTGCTTTCCCACCAACACAGCACAGGGTTCCCTTTTCTCCACATTCTCACCAACACTTGTCTTCTTAATAATAGCCATTATAACAGGTATAAGGTGATAGCTCATTTGTGGTTTTGATCTGCATTTCCCTGATTGGGGATATTGAGCATCTATTCCTCTGTTGGCCGTCTGTGTATCTTTAGAAAAATGTCTATTCAGATCCCCTAATTTTTATTTGGGTTTTTAGTTTCTGCTATTGAGTTACAGGAGTTTTTTATTTTTTTTAAAGATTTTATTTATTTGAGAGAGTGAGAGCACGAGCAGGGGGAGTGGCAGAGGGGGGTGAAGCAGACTCCATGTTGAACCCTGGGATCATGACCTGAGCCAAATGCAGATGCTTAATTGACTCAGCCACCCAGGTGCCCTGAGTTATAGGAGTTTTTATTTTAAAAAGATTTTTATTTATTTGACAGGGAGAGCACAGGCAGGGGGAGCAGCAGGCAGAGGGAGAGGCAAGCAGAGGGAGAGAGAAGCAGGCTCCCCGGCTGAGCAGGGAGCCTGACACAGGGCTCTTGATCCCAGGACCCTGGGATCATGACCCGAGCTGAAGGCAGACACTTAACCGACTGAGCCACCCAGGTGCCCTTATAGTTTTTAAATATATTTTGGATGTTAACCCCTTAGCAGATACGATTTGCAAATACTTTTTCCCATTCATCAGGTTGCCTTTTCACTTTTTGTTGGTTTCCTTTGCTGGGCAGAAGCTTTTTAGTTTGATAACAAGTCCTGCTTATTCATTTTTTCTTCTGGGGTACGATTGAAAAAATCACCAAGATCGATGTCAAGGAGCTTACTGCCTATTGGTTTCAGGTCTTACATTCAAGTCTTTAATCCATTTTGAGTTAATTTGTGTGGGTCTAAGATAGTGATCTAATTTTCCCAACAGAATTTACTAAAGAGACTGTCTTTCTCAATTATATATTCTTGCCTCCTTTGTCATAAATTAACTGACCATACATCCATGGGTTTATTTCTAGGCTCTCTATTCTGTTCGATTGATCTAGAGCATACTGTTTTGATTAGTATAGATTTGTAATATAGTTTGAAATTAGGGAACAGAATGCCTCCAGCTTTGTTCTTTCTCAAGGTTATGTTGGCTATTTGGGGTCTTTTAGGATTCCATACACATTTTAGGATTGTTTTAATTTTTGTAAGATTTATTTATTTGGTCAGGGGAAGAGAGGCAGAGAGAGAGAGGGAGTCTTAAGCCGACTCCATGCTGAGCACGGAGCCTGAGGCAGGCATCAATCTCACAACCCTAAGATGAGACCAAGAGTTGGTTGCTCAACCGAGTGCTACACCCAGGCACCCCTTAGGATTGTTTTAAAATATGCCATTGGAATTTTGAGAGATTGCACTGATTCTCTTAAGTTGCTTTTAGTGTGAATATTTTAATATTCTTCCAATCTGTAAACATGGAGTATCTTTCCATTTATTTGTCTTCGGTTTCCTTCGTTAATCTCTGAGAGTTCTCAGCGTACAGGTCTTTCACATCTTTACATTTATTTCTGGGTATTTTGTTCTTTCTGATGCCATTGTAAATGGGATTGTTTTCTTAATTTCTCTAGTTTCTTTAGTTTGTTGTGCGTGTACAGAAATGCAAAAGATTGCTGTATACTGATTTTGTGTCCTGTAACTTTACTGAATTAGTTCCAACATTTTTTGGTCTTTAGGGTTTTCTATATATAATGCCATGTTATCTGCAAATACTGACAGCTTTACTTCAAGACTTACAGCCTTTTCTTTTTCTTGCCTAATTGCTCTGGCTAGAACTTCTAATACTGTGTTAAATAACTTTTAAAATCTGACATAAAAAGCAAAGTGGCCCCAATAAAGAAGTTTAAATGTTGAACACTGAGTTCCTGGACCAACTCCCTTCTTTTTATGGAGCCCCCTGTGGGTAATGGAGGCATCAGAAACAGTTCGAAGTTACTGCTGTGGAACAGACCTCAAAACTTAGAGGTTCAAACAGTAATCATTTCTCTCATGGTTTCTATGGATTAGGGATGTAGGAAAGGTTCTCCTTGGCAATTCTGACTCAGGGTATCTGATGCATTTGCAGTTAACAGTGGCTAGAGCCAGAGTAGCAGGAGGTTAGAACACTGGGGACTGGCCAGGCATTTCTGCCTGTCATTTCAGGGTCTGTGTGGGCTGGTTTGGGCTTCATCACAGAATGTGGCTTCAGGGTGTTAGTTTTATGTGGTGACACAAGGACTACCAGCCTACACAGCTTGCATATTCCAACAAACCAGCTGTAAGCTGTGTTGCCTTTTATGATGGAGCTTTTGGAAGTCTCATAGCCGTACTTTTGTCATATTAACCAGTCACACTTCTTGATCTAGGGAATATCAGACTTTACTGATCTTTTAAAACTGCCACATCTACCCTCAAGAAGCCTTCTGGTGTGGGAGGCCAAGACTAGTCCAGATAACACCACCAAGAGAATACCAAAAGGTAAGCTGCCCCAGGTAGAAGCCATGGGACCTCATGGAGGGGGGTAAGGGAAGGCACTGGTGGAGGTGACCTTTGAGCTGATTCTTAAACTGGACTGACATTTTTGAAGGAATAAATGGTTGGTGAACAGTGAGTGATTACTTGGTTGCAACCAGAAGTGGCTAAAGGGAAGGAGTGAGCAAAGAGGCCAGAAATGTGAGCCAGATCAAAGAATGCCCAACTAAGAAGCTTTGGGGGGGTGGGGTGCGGGCAGGGAACACACAGGCAGAGAAGTAATGAAGTTTCCTCTTCCCTCCAGACCTAATTACCATAGGAGAGATGGCAGATTCTCCTTGCCAATACCTACCCTTCTGAGCGGTATTACAGGAGTTTACGAGTCTCCAACTTGGAAATATCAGGTAACTATAAGCAGATTTGACTTGGCTTTATTACTTGCTCGAACCATTGCCTGAATGGAGCACAGGGTCTTAGTGGTACCTATTGTGTAGATCAGTATGGTCCAGAACTTTCTGTGATGATGGAAATGTTCTGTGCTGTGAAGTTGGGATGCTACCTAACCACATGTTGCCATTGAGTGTTTGAGATCTAGGGCTAGAAATGTACTTTTATTTAAATAACCACAGGTGCTTAGTGTATTGGCCAGTAAGGCCTAGTTGAAGGATTTGACAAGTGAAATAGAGTTGCTAGGGCTGGCATAGACCCCCATGTGTACTGTGGGAATCCAGAGTAAGGGGACTAGCCACACAGTAACACCACCCTGATTCAGGTTTACTGACTGAATCTGAAGGAATAATATATAGCCAGAGAGACCCCTGTTGAAAAATACTATCCAAGACCTTAAAGTAGAGGACAGTGGCAAGAGCCAGCTGGGAGAAAATGTCTGGGTTGGTGAGGGGATTTCCCAGCTCTATTATCTCAGCTGGGCAATGAGAGATTAATTTTTAGCCACAGAACCCTACTATCAATTGTTGTAACTAACTTGGAGCTCTCGGAGTTGGAGGCAGGGGTGGACATTCAGTGGCTGTGCCTCTGCAGTCCTAGAAATGGTAACAGGAAAGTTTTCATCCCTTAAAATCTCTCTCCAAGCTGCAGTAGGTCTTGAAATCAGTAATGAAGCTTCATGTTTGTTTGAAACAAATTTATTCTCAGAATAATGCACAAAAGTAGAGGTTGAGGTTACCTTTGGGAGGCTTCCCCCCCCCAACTCCTCCCCCTCCTCTCTGGCTGCCAGCAAGAACAGAGCTGAAGGAAACATGCAATCACAAACAATGATCAACTCTAAAGACAAAAAGGTTTGGTCCAAAAGAACTCAACATAATTAATCCAATTACTGTGAAGAGCTTCACTGAGTAGGATTAAGATCTTGCAGATGTAGTGTTTCCACAGGGTGGCTCTTCAGTGCACCAAGGGGGCCTGCTTGAGGGAGATGAGGACAGAGCGCATGCGGGAGACGTCTTTGGCCTGCTTGCTGGACTTGGGGTTAAAGTCACACAGCCGGGCCACCCGTTCCCACTCAGTGCCTGGGGACGACTCGTCTATGTCGTTTACAAAGGCTTCTTCTGCTGCCCTGGAAGCAACAACACAATATGTTGGTTTAATGCAGAACCCCCTCCCCCGTGAGCTACCTGGCGGCTGCCTTGTGACAGAAGTGACTGCCTCTTCATGCCTGACTTCCTTGCGTTCTGGTTTTCCAAAGAGGAACAGCCCCTGGCTCAGGTCAGACTCGGGAGCAGACCCGTGGCCAGTTCTCCTAGGCACAGGGTGCCCGGACCGCTGTGTAAAATGTTGGAATACAGGTGTTTGGTTCAGGGCGCTCTGTCGATACAGAGCATTAAAAAAGCAAGTCCTTAGCCAGCTATGCACTGCCTTCAGCAACAGGAGCAAAGCAGCAGGCCGGTCAAGAATGTGCACAGGAGTTGATGGCGGGCTCTACTGAGTTTCAAGTGAATTGAGAGACTTCTCAAAAGCCCACCGGTCATTGCACGATAGCCTCTGGATTTATTCCTAAGACCAGAGAGAAACAGGGCAGATCAAAAGGAATTCAAGACACAGCTCCCATGCGAGCAGCAGGCACTAGAGACTAAAGCCATTCTGGAAGGGGGTTTGTTAGGACATTCTCCAGTTGAGCTGCAAGTTGGCCATTTTCCCTCCAGTCAGGTGCCTTGGGCCACTCAGGGCACGCTCTGGAAGGGGGGGGTGCCCAATGGCTAAAGAGCCAATCAATGTTAGCTGCTTTTGGGTAGGAGGCTGCTCCAACATTCTTTCCCATCAAGGTCAGCCCACCCCCAGTTGGGAACTGGTGGGAGTTACAGCCTGAAAGGACAGTGGAAAGAGGGAAGACACACTCTATTCATCTACTCCAACAAGCATCACGGGCAAAGCGAAAGCGATGGAGATGACCGGTCTGTGGGGACGGAGGGGTGGCACGCTTACAAGGATGGCCGTGGCAAACACTGCTGCAGCCCGAGCCACTACAACACTTCATGGCACACACAGTTAGGGGCAGTGAGAAAGGTTTACTTAACTGTTCTAGGCTGTAGCAAGGATGGTTTATGTTTGTGCTTAAAGGTGAAAAGAAAAGAAACGAGAGAAACTTTAGGTCAGATATAGAAAATGAGAATGAGCTCAATGCAGATGGTCAGTAAGCTAGACATGCCCTTGCCACTCCATCTACACTTGGGAACGTGCAGCTGGCTTTGCTGGGCTACCCTGCTGCCCAGCAAACCCAGACTCGACCTTTCCAGTCTCCAGTTCTACGCCAGAGAGAATGTGCAAAAATCAATCCAACACCACCTGTAAGTCCAGCATTTCACAAATCTCATTGCAAATGCATCTGGGGACCCAGGAAAACCCGCTCTGTATTCTAAAGGGATGAACATGTCGAGGTCACAGGCCCTAAGATAAGACGCTCTACAGACAGGAACCTATCGTCCACCCTTCCCACCTGTGGTCCTTCTACTACCCTCATCTCCCTTACATCAAAATGGAGTCCTAATTTTTGAGGAAACAGCAAGCATTGTTTCCAAGTCTTCTTCGGCAATACTGCTTTGAATACAAGAGTCAAATGTTTTTCCAGAGAAGATGCAGTTTTCTTTGGGGGAAAAAGCCATCGTGGCCTATCAGACAGCTTTGGCTATCCCGACCTTAAAAAGCTGGGGCTTCGTTGTGCTAAAGTGGGGGGATAGGCATCAGAAGCTGGCCACTAAACAATTTCCCACATCGAGAGAGAAACAGTTACAGGATCCCCACCCCCCCCATGAGACAACCTCCTCTGTTCCCAAGGGAGTAGCAACCAACCCCACATGTTCTTCAAAAGAACCAAATGTAGAAAGTGCTGCCCCGCCTGGCTCCCAAGCAGGGGGGCAGCAGTGGTGGCAGCAACCCCAGTCCCAAAGCCTTCCCCAACCAGGTCACAAATGACCCACACTTTAAAAGGGAATCCAGTTCCTTCCCTCCAAAACCCCAAATGTGGAAAAAAGGCTCTCAGAGTTAAAGGGAGTCACGCTTCTACAAGACAATCGATGGATCATATCCCCAACCTTCTCTTAGGCAGTCCCCAGAGTGCCAGTTTGAAATATTTAGAAAGCAGAACTTGTGACATAACAGGAGCATTAACTCTAAACAAAAAGAATCAAAACAGGAAAAAGAATTAGTTTTGCAACATACACATAACCAATCACGTCAGCGAAGGGTTGTTTGTAGAAAGCTTCATCTGCCACCCTAGACAGCAAGAGGTCCAAAAGGCAGGCAAGCAGGCAGGAAAAAAGAGAGAACATTGAGAGGCAGAAACATCTCAAATCCATAACAGAGGCACGACTGTGCTCCGGGGCGCTGCTCCCAAGGCTGGGTGCTCACCCAGGGAGGCTTCAAGTGCTGGAGACTCCAGCAGGCAAGGTTCCCCATGGACCTTCCCCCTGGGGATTCTCCCGGGTGAGCCCTGCCAAGCCCTTCCCAGCGTCATCCCTGCCACCGCGAGCAGGTCTCAGCACCCACTTCCAGGGAAGCCCTTTTAGAGCTACTGCGTCCACTTGATCCAATCCTCAACCCCGACAACATAGGGCACCGTGTTCTCATCAACACTTTACAGGTAACAGGAGGCCTGGACAGGAAGCCCCTTGCTCAACCCCAGGTGGCAGCAGAACTCCCAAGCAAGCCTGCCTGGCTCTTTTTACCAGACAGTAATGCTGCCCCCCAGCTGGCAGGTGCTCAGGAAGCTGGGCCACCTTCCTGCAGCCTCTGGCAAGCTCATGAGCCATCACGCTACGCGCCAAAGCCACTTCTGTCTTGGATTATCCGACTCCTGCTTCCCCGCCCTGACTGAATGGGATCACTTTTCAGTCATCTGGGAACAGATGTGGTCATTTCAAAATCCCCACCTTAGAGGTAAAAGTTGCTGGATGCAAGTGGTCTGGTGCAAAGAACTGCAGCCAAGAGTCCTGGCTCTGGCTTCCTGTCTGTCCCTAAAGATGGTCTGCTCAGTCCATGCCAGACGGGACTGAGGCTGTCAGTGTCAGGCTGTCACAAGGTGCAGCCCAGGAACCAGACCTTCACTTAACTCTTAACTCATACCATACATGGGTCAAAATGGCAGGCCTCTGGGACAAAAAGGAAAGGGGGGGCATGCTGGGTGGAAGAGTTTCCACCCCAGGGGACAGGCTCGCTTAGACCTTATTGGCCCGGCCAGCCCACCACAACCACTGTGGGTGGGCAGGGTACCTCCATCCAGGAGTTTTACCCTGTCCTTTGCCAGGTTGGTTTGGGACACATAAGTAGAAGGGACATTTTTAAGGATGATCATGCCTGCTTATTAGCCTAGGCTCCCTTATTTGAAGGGAAATTCTAGTAATTTTGTTTATTTTTATTTAAATTCACACATAGCCTTCCTTCTTTCCCATTTTGGTTTATACATAGGTGGTGGTTTGTGGAAATTTAAAGAAAGCAAAAAGAACAGCCTGATTGTAACTCTAAGTCAGCAGGAAAACAGAGTTGTTTGTGGAGAGAATGAGTGGGTGGGAAAGGAAAGGCAGGCCCGCTTGTAAACCCATAATCCTTATAGTTTACACAAAGGACTAAACATAATCGATTTCAAAGAAAATAAAGGTTGAATGACTACAGTCCAAGGCATCACTAAGACAACAAAAGCCTGATGAATGGCAGGCTTTCACTCCTTTGCAGCTAGCCCCAAGACTATGGAACTCGTCAGTGACAGCATAGCCCCATCCAGGTACAGACAAATGGAGCAAATGGAAAACCATGATCACCATAGGCGGCCCCTCTAGCTGTTTGTTCTTCACTCATCAGAGGGGCCTGAAAGCAGCAATCCTCAGGGAAGCCTGAGGGAAACGGGGGTGGGGGTGGTGGTGGAATGTAGGCCTGACCACAGGGTGCTCAAGCAGTGACCCACATTAATAGCGCCCAGTGGGCATGGAAAAAATATTTGCCATCATGGAGAATCAGGGGTTCCCCAAACTTTTATAAATCTTGAAAGATAAAAAGTTAGCACCAGAGCTCCCTGTAAAAGGGGTAATGTTTCTACTGGCTCCCATGGAGTGTCCCCCCTGCCCCCCAACAGGCTGTCACTAATCATTCATGGCTCTTGTGCAGCAATATTTGGGCCCCAAGTTGGGATAAAAGGAAGGAGATGCCAGCTGCAGAGGAACACCAGACCACAGATGCCATGAAGGCAAGATCTGCTCTCATTCACCCACTGCCCAGCACCATGCCTGACACAGATGTGCTCCTGAGGTTTTAGGCCAGGGCATCTAGAAGGCAAGAGGCCTGATGATACACTCGTAGTAACAGCCTCCCCACCACATCTTCTCTCAAACTGCTTGCTCTGCCTTAGCTCTGTGTGCCACCTAAACATCCAGCTGCTGCAAAAGTCATCGAGAGGAAGACCGATACTTGAAATGAACACTCTATTTTCTCCTGAGATTCACTATTTACCTATAGACAGTTCTTTTACATATATAAAAGGACTTACTCCACTCCTTTAGTCCTATGGGATGCTGTTTAGAGAGTCAAACATGGAGGGGAAGTGGTCAGCAATGTCAAAATCTCCAGGGGAGGGGGTGTACCACTGGAAGAAGTCCCCCACGGTTGCTCTAAATGGCTCCTGCCCCAGCCCATGAAGAGTAAGTCAGATAAAGCATCAAAACCATCCCTTCTATCCTGGAATCCTGGTGACAAAGGCCAGTGTGCCATTAGTTTGACACAGAGTCTGCCCTGTGCCTCAAGGTTTCTGCAAGGCAAGGGACCTGGTTTGGGAAAAGCCCTACATTCTCCGTGAGTGGCAAGTGTAAGTCTCTTCCCCTGTCCAGAGCTTGGGAGGTTCATCTATGCGAGACCATCCAACTCAACATTCTACAATTCTAAGAAAGGTACCAAAGCCCTAAATCCAGGCCTGGAGGGACTAAGCCTTGGTGACTGAGCTCCTCAAAAAAGGTATGCTTATTTGCTCCAAGGACAACGGATGCTGTATACAGACAGCTCCTTTCTTTACAGAAGGGATACAGTTGAGCAAAACTGCAATTAGAAACCTATTCCTGACACAGTCATTTTTTACGTCTGAGAATCTATATGTGAGCCTGTTTACCCATCAGGGATCCTGAACAGGGAGGGTCAGCCTGGTTTTACCAAGTACTTCAGGGCAGAATGACTCATGGGCAACTTGCTGGATCAACGGGGCCTCACAGAGGGCTTGCACAAAGCACCCACTCATCTCCCTTTAGAGATCAGGGCTTGCACAAAGCACCCGCTCATCTCCCTTTAGAGATCTGAACTTGTACCTGGGGTCAATCATCTTGAAGGAGCAGAGAATAAAGCAGCCTGGACCTGTCAGCACTTGAAACTGATCACAAGCTCAGGAGAAGCCCTGGTACCAAATGCTCCTCCAAGCAACTCTGCACCAAGAGCGGAGAGCAGTCCCCACCATATTACAGAGCTTCCCCTGGAACTGGAGAATACATCCCCCAGCGGACACAGGCTGCAGCCTGCCATCTGAGGGGCAGCTGACAGGACCCAGGCTGGCCAGCCAGAGACCGGTAGCTGAAGCCTACTGCACAGAACAGTCCATCTCTTCTGCTATTGTTGCCCTCCTTAATAAGCAACACACTCTGGCTGGCAAAGCAGTCCACTCCCTCTTCTCTGACACATTTCCATCTAAGCTAACAGAGGCAAGAGCACTTAAACCAACTTCTGCCTCTGAGGGCAAGAACCTATGGCTCTTTGCCCTGACAATTACAAACACCCCCGGCCCAGTCTGGCCTTTCTTTCCAGTGAGGTAGTGGAGTGACCACGGAGTGAGAGCTGGGCTCTGAATCCAGCAGGGCAGGAAGCCACTGGTCTCCATCAGGGCCAGCAGCACTGCCTCTACCTTTCTCTGAGCTACTTCCAAGTGGACTTTAAGCATGGAGTAGTCCAGACCACAGGTGCCAGTCAGTGGGGGTAGGAGAATGAACTTGGTTTCTCCCCACAACTACTTCATCTTCAGTAAGTGAGTCCATTCTGAAGAGCATTTTAAAAAAGTCCACTCAAGTTTTTCCTAGACACGGAAGTACCCAGAGAATCCTTAATTCTGAAGTCACCATGTTGGAACATCCTTGGCTACCTAATCACACACATGGTTCCTGCTACCAGACCCCTTTGTAAAGCAGCTTTCAGAGGACAGGGTTGTATTTAGGGGATGCAACATGACCAAGTCTATAATCACCTCAGAAGTACTGAGACCCTGATATATTCATGAAAGTGGCCCTTCATTTCAGGGTTACATTTCCACATGGGGATTTGATCCATGAAATAACTTTCCCTTTTGCTGTTTCATACTATTACAAACAATACAGATTAACCAAACTCTTAGCTGAAGAGCTAAAGCCAGTACAACTGGGGTGGCTAAAGGACAGGCTGAATTATGCTCCCAAAACCCAAGAGACTTGCAACCTTTATGTTTCAAGTACTTTTTCCAAAAACTGCAGAGACATTTCGTATAACAGGCAGCACCTGTGAGAACTATACCGGCTGCCAGAAATGAACGTGACTCAATCTTGGAGAACAAGCAGTTGCCAGCAGCACCGGAGACTGACCTGTTGTTTGCTTTTGTTTTCTGTAGCTGCTCGTCCTGCCTTGCATACCACTCTTCTAGCTCCTTTATTGCTTTTTCTTTCCACTCTGCTTCTTGCTTCCGAGAATTGGCATCTTTGAAGGGAAGGAAAAGAAACACAAATGAAACAAAACACAAACTGAAGTTTGCTCCATCAATTTCTTTTGGTCTTATTAAACTTGAGTGTGTGTGTGTGTGTGTGTGTGTGTGTGTTGGAAGGACAATAATCAGGAGGGAAGACAAAATTCTATTTCCCTATTTGTACATCCAGTCTCTCATCCCAGTGATTCTATCCAAGTTCTTTCATATTCTCTCTCAGTCCACTGACATCTTAGTGGATTCACCAGTTTTGGGGTTTCCTTTCAGGGTAGGGGAGAGAAGGATACACAGAAAAAAGCCTTTGGGGGCACCAACTAGGGAAAAAGCAGTTAAAGGTTTTTGTTTTTGTTTTTTTTTTAAGATTTATCTGAGAGCACGCACACGCACAAGAGCAGGGGTAGAGGGGCAGAGGGAGAGAGAGAAAGTCTTAAGTGGACTCTGCCCTGAGTGTGGAACCCAACTCGGGGCTCAATCCCAGGACCCTAAGATCACGGGCTAAAATCAAGAATCAGGTGCTCCACCAACTGAGCTACCCAGACACCCAGGAGAATTCTTTAATAATTATGCTGCCAATATTAGTTCAGGGTGGACTGTTGATATTAGATAATATTTGAACAAAATCTTCTTACAAACTATAAGACCCCAACTCTGCTGATCGATGGGTTTTGTAAAACACAAGGTGGCACTCTCTTAACTAAGCATGGCGGAAACGCTTCTATGAAGCGGAAAGCTATTGTTAAAATTACCAGAGGAAGGAAGGATTCAGGAACCAGGGAACAGAACATAGATGTTAAAAGTTGAGGGGACCACAAAACATCTACTCCTGCTTAGACTGCACAGTGAGTTTGTGGCAGGGCCAGGACAGAACTAAAGAAGCTCTAAGGGAGAGGATTGCAGGGGGTTGAGGTGGGGTGGCAGAATCATTAGCAGTTATCCAGAAGGTTCTAGAATGAGAGAGAAAACAAACTTAGCAAGTTTGCCAGACTGGATTTTCAAATATGACAACTAGCTAAAAAGACCAAGTCAGTAGATAGCAAGAGATAGAAATGCAGGCCATAGCTACCGCTGCAGGTGGCATCTAAAGTTACCCCGAGATTTCACTTGAAACACGTTCTTAAGCATCCTCTCTGGTAGGTGTTTTGTAACAGACCTCTCCTTTAATCCTTACAACAATCCCCGAGAAGGTAAACTCTAGACCCATGTTCAGCACTGAGAAAAACTATAGCTCAGAAAGTCTGAGGAATCTTTCCTAAAGTAAGTGGCAGAGCTAAGATTCAAACCCAGGTCTGACTCTGAAGGTTACACGTTCTTTCTTCATTAAGCTGCCTCCAAAGGGAGGGATGGAAAGGAAAACAAACCTAGAAACAATCACAAGATGTGACTAGAAGGTGGTCACCAGTGACCAGACAAGAGTTTGGACAGTGCAGGGCCAGAGCCCAACCTGTAACTAGCTAGGCATCCTGGAAGAGTAGAAAGCAGTGGTGGTGGCGGCGAGTGAAGGGAAGAAATGAAGCACTTTAGGGCATTTTTAGGTCCTTTCCAAGAACATCTTACAGTAACAACCTGCAGAAGGCTGTGTCTGTAACTACTGGAAATAGCTTGTTCGCAGCTAGAAACTCCCCCAAAGTTTCAGATTATAAAGAACTTGTTACCCTGTTATTTAACTTATCAGAGGTGACCTATCAATTTTTTTTTTTTTTGAGAGATGGGGGGAACCCACAAAGGGAGAGAGGGAGAGTCTTGAGGCTTCACGCCCAGCGTGGAGCCCGACATGGGGCTCAATCTCACAACCCGAGATCATGACCTGAGCCACCCAGGCGCCCCACTCAGAATTCTTTTACTCAGTGATGAGTCAAGTCTATACAGCAGACTTCTGATATGTGTCCATGGCATTAAGCAGAAGTGGAATGGAGGGCGCTAGGATGCGGTGGGAGATGCTGTGGGCTGGCAGTGCATGTGGACAAGAAACTGAAAAATACTACGGTTAAAATCTCCTTCTCAAGAGTGGTGAAATCACTTCTGAAACACTGCTTTTTAATAGGAGAGTATTTCCTTTCTTTGTAAAGATTTTTTTAAAGTTTTAATATACTAGGAATAAAATAGCACAGAAATTTATCTCTGAAAAATTAATCTGAACAAAAATTGTAACCATCTGCACAGATTGTAGTTATTGCATAAAACCATCCCTTTAAATTGTCTTCTTGCTTTTACAGATTTTTTAAAAAAGTGACACTGGCAATAAGAATTTAGAATTCTGGGACATCTGGGTAGCTCAGTTGGTTAAGCGCGTGCCCTTGGCTCAGGTCATGATCCCAGGGTCCTGGAACTGAGCCCTGCACCAAGCTCCCTGCTCAGCGAGGAACCTGCTTCTCCCTCTCCCTCTGCTGTTCCCCCCTGCCCCCTGCTTGTGGTCTCTCAGTCTCTCTCAAATAAAATCTTAAAAAAAGAAAACAAAAAAAAACGGAATTTAGAGTTCTTAAATGCTTAGCTCAGTAGGACAAAGATCCAAGCGACAACATAATCTGCATCTGGGCATGAGAAGAGGGAGGGAAAGCTGAAGAGTCCCCTTGGGGAACAGGGCACACTGATAGCCATCTTCGTGGGCAGTCCTTCTTACTGTTCATGGAAAAGAAAACTCTGAGAATGCAGTCACCAGCTAAGCTGAAAACCACGCACACTGGTTTCTCTATATTTAGCATCTTGTGCGTTCTCACAGCTTTTGCAAAGAAAAAAGAGGAAACTGAAGAAACACCTAGTTCACAGACCAATTTAATTCAATTGCAAAGCCCAATGTTTGACTTCAGAAAAGCATCTTAAGAAAACAACACTTCATGGAATATTCCCAAAGTGCCCAATCTGATCACTGAAAGGGCGGGGGGAGGCAATTTTCCCAGACCCCAACATGACCAAAGTGTACTCTCTCCATGGAGCAGAAAACTTTGCTAAACTTCGGGGAAAGAGAAAAGATAAAAGTTGGGTTCTGTAATCTGACAAATACTAGTACCAGCAAAGTCCTGCCTCTCCGCCCACTCAGAAGAGACACACAAGGAACAGGCCACGACTAAAGCTACCAGCATCTCATGAAGACAGTTTTCATCTTTTTTTAAAGCTGCACTATCCAGTACAGTAGCTACTAGCCACATGTGGCTACTTCTTAAAATAAATTAAAACTTCAGTTTCCCAGTCATACTAGTCACATTTCAAGTGATTAAGAGCCACATGTGGCTAGTGGCTACCATACGGGACAGCACAGATCTGTACTACTTCCATCCAAGAAATTCTACTGGAGAGTGCCATAAAGGTCCAAAGAGAAGTGTGCCCTTTGTTCTGAAAGCCACATAAATTGGGCTGGAAAGGGAACAGATTTGGCACTAACTGGGTCCTACTTCTAGGTGTCAGTTAACCCTCTCTGAAAAAACAAGGAGTCAGTTTTTACTAATTCATTGGTTCCCATGAAGGACTAATAATGCTGACGTTGTTGGTGCACAGAAGAACATCGTTATTTCCAGATATACAATATTTAAGCATGAAACAGATGATGTATCTGAAAGTGGATCAGAAATGTGTGTGTATAAAACATATACATACATACATGCTTCATTTACATAAAGATAACCCAATATGGCAAAATGTTAATCACTGAATCTAAGGGGGTACGCACAAGTTCATTTTACCCTTAACTATGTGGTTTGAAATTTTATTTCAAGTTTTAAGTAATCTCTACACACAATGTGGGGCTTGAACTCACGACCCCAAGATCAAGAGTTGCACACTCTACCAACTGAGCCAGCCAGGCACCCCTGTGTTTGAATATTTAATAAAAAGCTGAGGAAAGAATACCCCATGGCTTTATCTCCACACTGTGCCATACCTCTGCAACCCACCTACATACAGATACCAAGTCTCCTGATCTTGACCAAAAGCAAGAGCCCACGCACACAGTTCCTCACCAAAGGCTAGGCCGGCTGGCACTGGTCTCAGCGGGACAGCGTACACGACGTGCATTGTGGCTAGTGGATGGAGGGGGTACGGGCTATGAAGCAGGGCGGACATAAGCTGAGTTCTGACGCTACTGCTTCTCAGCCGTGTGATTCAAAAACTTGTTTGAGAAGTCTCACTTTCCTCACTTACAAAAACATACAAACTTAGCTTACAGGGGTATTAGAGTAGGAAAATCAAACTGTACACGTTTCCTAACATACTTCACATTTTCTTCTTAAAGCATTACCTTAAATTCAGCCTAGAAATGATAAATGGACCTTGAAGTCTCTTACCCGGAGACCTTCAAGTTTGCACAACACTCTCATAAACACATTCTCAGACGAACCCTGGAGGTGGTAACACCGATCTCACCCCACAGACGAAGAAACAAACTCTACAAGGTTTGAACCACCAAGTGCCCACAGCTCGAAGAGTTCAGGCTGGACCTTGAACCTACTCTTTCTTCACTGCAAGCTCAGGACTCTGCTCTGCTCTGCTCTTCCCAAGAGGATGCACTTGGTGGTGGCTCTCTGAGCTGCCCTATTCCTCACAAAATGGCCTGTAATTAAGCATCTCCCTGTGGGTGGCCTTGTGACCCCTCAGGCTGAGGAAGAGATCTTCCCAAATACTAGACAAGGACATTATGGCTAATTCCAGTTAAAAAGGGCTAAGAGTCAAGGGCAACTATTCCATTGAAAACAAGACACCCAAAGACAGAAAAAGATTCCTTACCAAGGGCTTCCAAGCGTTCCGTTTGCTCTTCTCTCCATTTACGGATACTTTCAGGCTCTGACTGCAATCGATCCACTTGTGAAATAGCTGCGTAACTGTCTGTTGGACCATTACTCTCCTTAACACAAAAAACAATTGTGTTCTATCAGTACCAAACACGCCTTCCTGAAATGCGCTTCATACACGGTAGAACACCCCTGGTTATGTACTGATGGCCACTTTAACATGTTAAAGGATTACCTTAAAAGCAACAACACAACCTTACATGCTCATAGGGAGCTCTCAACATTACTGCACCTAATCCTTACAATCCACAAGGGAGGCAGAGTAGTTGTTAGCCTGCCTCTTAATAACTGGGACAGAAGTGGGAGAGAGGAAAACAGGGGAGGTGGGTCATGGATTGACTAGGAAACAGTGTTAATGATTTTAGTGTCCTCACTTGACACACAGCTCATGTGGGATCTTCAAAGTAACAAAGGTAAATACACTGCACAGCAAGGCCTAGAACCTAAAACTTCTAAATGCTATTACATGCAGGAAAAAGAGCGCTTGATACCACCTAACCAAAACAGGTGATTTCTGGGTAAAAGGGAGTCCAAAAGAAAACATGTAGTCACTAGTCACACCAAGAAAAAGAATAAAAAGGCAAGCAAATAGGAGTCACAAGTTGCGGGGGGGGAATGCGGGGCAGATTCTTTATAGTCGGTAAGGTCTGACAGCTAATAAACTGATAAAACTCAAATAGAATTTAATCTTTAGAAAATTTTTCACCTGTTGAACTAGGGAATAAATTCCAGGTTCACCTAATCAGACTATAAAAAGATGGAAGAATTATTGAAAGTATTAGTAACTAACTTATTGACATTTTCCATGTGTCAGGCACATAAAAGTTTTATCTCCCACGCAACTTGCAAAGTTTTGATTCTCATTTCACATTTGATGGGACTAACCTGAGGCAGAGAGAAATGACATGTCCACTTCACAGCTAATAAGAGGTAGAGCCAGGTTCTAAACCCCATTCTGTCTCACTCTAAGGGCTAAGTTCTACCAGGCACTGGAAACTAGAGTCCAGGCCAGCTGCCTGTTTTTGTAATTAAATTCTACTGGAACACAGCCAGGTGCATTCATTCATGTACTGTCTGTGGATGCTTTCACATTACAGCAAGAGTAGTTTGACACAGTTACGACAAAGCTTAAAATGTTTACTATCTGGTACTTTACGAAAAAGTTAGTCCATCCTTGGTTTAAAACAATTAGACTAACATCCTTCCTGCCGGTGAACTGGTTGAGGGATGGGCAGAAACCCAGGCATAAGCAAAGCATCATGCTATTTCCCCAGGCTGTAGTGACTACTTGCAGTTGTTCCAGAAGGAAATGCAAGATTTTTGCTGGGTGGTTGGGAGAAGAGGAGAAACCCCCATCTTGTTCTAGATAACATGTCACGCACATGAGAAGCCCACAAGTGCTGTAGTCATCTGACCACCAAGAAAATAGCTTGAGCACAAAAATGCACACTTAGCAAGCAGAGCCAGAGTCCCAGGGGAACTGAGAGTCCTGGTTGAAGGACACTTCAGTTATATAAACCGGTAAGACTTTTTGTGTTTAAGCTAATCTGAGTTGGGCTGGCAACTCAATGCCTAGTGATATAGAGGGAAAATAATGGCAGTCACCACAAATTCCAGCCCCCCTTCCCCCAAGACAATCTCAAAGGTTCAAATGCTGGCCCCACTGCATACCAGCTCTGTTACTTTTAGACTACTTTGTGCCTCAGTTTCTTCATTTGTAAAACAGGAATAATAGTACAGGTCCCCCAGGTTATTGAGAGAATTAAAGAGTAAATATAAACAGTGCCTGACAGTGCATGGCACAGTGTTTAAATTAGCCATTGCTATCATCACCATGAAAGCTCATTTCTTTTTTTTTTTTTTTTAAAGATTTTATTTATTTATTTTGAGAGAGAGAATGAGATAGAGAGAGAGGGGGGGGAAGGACAGAGGGAGAAGCAGACTCCCTGCCGAGCAGGGAGCCTGATGCGGGACTCGATCCCGGGACTCCAGGATCATGACCTGAGCCCGAAGGCAGTCACTTAACCAACTGAGCCACCCAGGCGCCCCTGAAAGCTCATTTCTTGAGAGTAAAATCAGTAATACTAGGGCCAGGTCAGTAATGTTTTAAAGGAATGATCAATGTCACTTCTCTTCAAATCCTTCCATTTTAGCAGGTAACATACCCAGTACTAATACATCTAGGAAAGTCAAAGGAGTGGGGTCCTTTCTAGGTCAATCAATTCAAATCACAAGAAAGGAAGACTCAACCACTATCTTTTAACATAATCAGAGTATTCTGTACCTGGTAGTACTCGCCATTCATCACTCCATCCACGGCATCTGCAAGACATAAAATTTCAGTTGGTCAGTCAGGACTAGTCAAATGCTGGGCCAAAGCATTACCGAGTCTAATACAGTACTATCTGCCTCAGGTACCGTAAATTATACTAATGCTATCCCTGTGCTACGCACTAGACAGAAAAATGAACGACTTCCTGTTTAATGAAACCAAGATGTGCTTATACACAAATTACTTCACCAAAATGGACAAATCTGTACCAAACCCCCAGTTCAAAAGCTTTTTGATCTTTTACCCTAGAGAGGGAACACATGGATGCCTGGCAGAAGAGTCTCATAGAGCAACAGTGTTTCTCCATGAAAGTTCTGGAGAAGGCAAAGTGGGGCCTGGAATCATTCAGTGAGCCAAGGACATGCAGCTTCATGTTCAAACCAAGGTGCTTTCTTGGGAGTCAGGACTCTCCATCCTGTGCCTGTAGACCTAAGGGTCTACAGTTGAGACTTCCTGAGCTAATTTCTCTAGACCCCTGGAACTAGTCTGGGATAGTAAGATTTGGGCATACCAAATTAAGTATTTTCAAGGATACAAGTTACAAAAAACTCAAAGTGTGGTGTACAATCCAGTCTTACTGGCACAATTCACTCATGAGCTAAATGAGAAAGTCCATTTGAAAAATGTGGAAATGATCTTTTTTAAGTAAGACCTAGAGACCATCAATCCACATAGCATAAAATGGTAGTCCACAGGCTGAACACATTTAAAACACACACTATTAAGTCAGAAAACTTCACAAATTCAGGATGTCTAGGTTTTGGGGCAAGGGCAAGCAGACAGAAGATCTGGCAATCTTGGGCCTGCTTGAGAGGAGGGCAGCCTTTACATCCAGCACGCTCTGCTCTATCTGCCAGGACCCCAGGCTCCCCCGCCCCCCTTTTTTTTTTAACCCATTCAGTGTCTCAGTCATTCAGCTGCCCGATAAGTATGCATCCTAAGCCCTGCCCCAGAAGCCATCACAAAGAGGCAGTCTGCACAGGGCCGCCTGCCATCCTTTCGAAAGCCTTGATACAGACACCATTTTTAGCTTCTGCCTACACATTCTGAACTCTGGATTTGTTGGCTGACCCATATTTACTACCTACTATGTAGGACTTCCATTATTTTGTCCAAATTTTTTTTCACACTACTTCAAACTACTTATTTGTCCAATTTCTTTTTTTTCCAAACTTACTGCATGGGGTGGGATAGGGAAGGTGACAGAAGAGATGCACCTAGTGCTCAAAAACTGATACAAGTATTTGGGGGGCATATTCAGTTGCTTCTCAGTAAGAAATCCCTTCATCTAGAACCGCTAGCACAGACCGTGCCCGGTGGGCAGCACCGGAGCTGCCCCGCACGCTGACACCATGCTGGTCGCCCTGAAGACCCTCCAGCAGCCGACCTTCAAGAGAGAGATTCTTGGGTCACGGGATATACATTTTAAAAACTTCTAAATGCCGACCATTTGCCCCCTTTTAGTGTCTCATTTATATTACTACCAGCAGCACATGACCGCCCCATTTCTCAGACTCTTAGTGAATACTAAAGATGGAGTTTTAGGTTTTTAAATTTTTGCTAAGTTGACAGCAGGGAGAAAACTTAGGTGGCTTTGTCCTGCCAATCTCTTTTCCTGTGAGGTAATCATGCAGCTGACGTTTGATTTTCTTCTTTACTGAATTGTCTGAGTTTTGCCCATTTTTCTGCTATCTTTTGATCTCTATTCACTTTATATTATTTGTCCTCTCATATTACAATTATTCCCCCATTGTCATTTTTTTTTAAAGATTTTACTTATTTACCTGATAGAGACACAGTGAGAGAGGGAACACAAGCAGGGGGAGTGGGAGAGGGAGAAGCAGGTTTCCTGCTGAGCAGGGAGCCTGATGCGGGGCTCGATCCCAGGACCCTGGGATCATGACCTGAGCCGATGGCAGAAGCTTAACAGACGCTTAACAACGGAGCCACCCAGGCGCCCTCCCCCATTGTCATTTTATATGGTTTCTTCTGGTACTAAAAAAAACCCAAAAATGCCTCTCTTTAATCCCCCTGGAATTTATTTTTGTGTAAGATAGAAAAGAGGTAATTTTGACTCCTAGAACTTATAATGGTTAGCATGGCCAGACCTAGGCCTAAACTCTGGTTAATATATTACATTTAACACACCAACTATCCAGTTAATATATTCCAGCCCAGGGCCATTCCCAATAGGAGAGCTTTTGATCACTACACCATACACAAAACTAGAAGCAATTTTCATCCCATACCTCCTAAGTCACATGCTGCCTGTCCGTTATGACCAAAGACTCATCCAAATCCACTGGCAAGTGCTTTGAGCTCTTATTAGTTACTGTACTGACATTCAACTGGCCCAAGTCAAAGACCTGCCTGTTGCTACAAAACATACAGAAAGACATCTTAAGACAACCAGGCTAAGCAACCTGATGCTCCAGAAGGAACCTTTCTGGGGCATCTCAGGAACTCCAGAGAGAAACAAGGGCCAGAGTAAGTTTCCAGAGAAGAAATTTTGTCCCAAACCCACCTTCGACTTCCCATGGTGCCCATGCACTGGAAGTCAAGCAGATGTGGGTTTGATGAATCCCAGTGGAGACATGTATTAGCTTGCTACCTTAGGAACACTGCTTAACTTCCATGATGCTTTCTTTTCTGAAATACGATGCCTGCAGGTACTGCGTGAATCTGCAGCTACAGAGAACTGGCATGAGGTAAGCGTACAGTACTAACTGTCAAGCATGAAATTTCCCCGAACTTTTCTCCACCACTGCTACCAAGAAAGTTACTCTCCTCCTCCAGAAGGCTTTCCTTTAATTCACGTGCCTCTCTTCCTCCTCCAAGGAAAGGCTTGTCAGAAACAACAACCGGTGCCTCACTGCCGTACTCTCTCTGGAGCTCCTTAATCATCCCTTTCTCCAACCTCCTCGGCCCTCATAGTTGAGGGCTTTACAACAGCTCTAGACTTAAGCGGCCTCTTCCTGACTACTTGCTCTTCCTCAGTATCTGAGCCACTAGACTCAGCTGGTTACCTTCCACCTTTAAACTTACCTCCCTTGTCCAGATCTCCTTACAACTGAAGGAATCCTCCAAGGCTCGGGCCCTCCAGTTTTTGCCTGCTCCCATCCTTCATGGGAGTTTTCCCCCAGGCTACTCGTCCATCTGTTAGAGTCTCCTGCTGATGTATCTCTGTATAGTAACATATCAGATACAGGGCTCTCTCCTAAATGTTTCCTCAGCACACCCCAAGGCCTACAGGCTTTGTAATGCCTCTCTCTTCCTACTCCCAAGGAATAAGAGGATAGCCAGGTACCGTGGCAGTAATATACCAAGTACTGTGTGTAAGCACTTCACAGGTCCTACTGTAGTCCTAGTAAGCCTATGTGGTATCTATCTGTACCGTGTACTGGTGAAAAGGCTAAGGCAGGGCAGTGGCAGTTACCGAAGCTGCCTGAGACCACAAAGTTAAACTTACACTCAAGCAGTCTAGGAGAGCACAGAATCTCAACCACTAGAGTGCCTCTTTTCAAAGAAAGTAAGTGTCCAACTAGTTCTCTAATCCCCAAAGGAAGTGCTGACCACTGCACTAGTGCCAACCTCAATTACACTGTCAGAGGTCTGGCTCTAAATCACTAAATGCTTAGTTCACTAAGAAAGTCCTTCCTAGAAACTAAGTCAGCAGTCATCCCTTCCTTCCCTTTGCTGAAAGCTTAACGCACAAGGGATCTGTGTATCCAACTCTACCCTTTCACCTCTCCAAACTGCTCATCATCAAGATTTGTCATTTCTCTACAGGACTCTTGGACCTGGTATTTTTGTTCATACCTTTCTATCTACTATGTGCCAGACACCCTGCTAGGCACTAGAGATACAACTGTAAGCAAGAGTGACATTGTCCTTGAATCAGGACAGTTTTCTAATTATGGGTCCTGATTCTAACTCTGTCCTACCCAAGGCAGCCACACTGCCTTTGAGAAATGACAATCTCTTGTCCCGTGATACCCCTGTGGAAACAACTGCAACAGCATATGGTACAGTCGACGGGTAGGGAAACTGGGGGCATAGCTAAGAACTTGGCCCTTTTTAAGTCATTTCTCTGCAGGACTCCTAAGTTTTCTCATATTAAATGAGGAAAGTAAACTAAGGATCTAAGAAGTAAATTTTGTGATTCTCAGGCAAATGTTAATAAACATCACCCAACAACAAAACCCTACTGACTTAAAGCCAACTTCATCTCCCAGCCACAACCTGGTTCAGTCCAACCTGCTTGCTGTAATTCGCATTTTTCAGGTGTATCATATGTTCTCGTGTAAATTCTTACTGGAGGGCTAATTTGCTTAGGAGGTAATATGGTACAGGATAAAAACTCAGAGGCTACAAAGGAGCAGTCTCCCTACCCCTACTCAAAAAATGGCTCCGCCTGGCTGGCACAGTAACTTGAGATTTCTGAGTCTGAATGCTTTCACAGAGTACAACTCTAGTGCACCAAAACCTCAGTCTCCAGGGCGCCTGGGTGGCTCAGTTGGTTAAGCGACTGCCTTCGGCTCAGGTGATGATCCTGGAGTCCAGGGATCGAGTCCCGTATCGGGCTCCCTGCTCAGCGGGGAGTCTGCTTCTCCCTCTCCCGCTCCCCCCACTTGTGCTGTCTCACTCTCTCAAATAAAACCTTTAAAAAAAAAAAAAAACAAACCTCAGTCTCCAACACTCCGTAGTATCTCATTCCCAGCAGGTTTCTCTCATTTATGTTATCTGCCTGGCTCCTTAAGGTTTGAGGTTAGAGTAGTACAAACACTCCTATCTGCCCCACCGGTGCCCTGTTCTCCTTTAATTAGAATTTTTTTTTTTTAAGTAAATGAAAACCCAGGTTTCATTTCTTCCAGCTAATTTCCTACTTCCTCATTCTACTGAATAGGTCCCTTCCACTCATCTTTTCCTCCCACTGTAATTCAAAGCATCACACACAGGTAAGGCATTCAGAGGTCACACTGACAGCCTACTGCTCATTTTGTTTGTTTGTCTTTGCTTGAGTCTGGCTGGGAAAAGGCCACCCTACATTCTCTATTCACTTTTTAGAAGACTAGTTCAGGCTAATCTTAAATTCTGCTTAGGCAACACTGCCTACCAAAGCTGTTCCTAGAGGAAGTAGAGCTCCAGAAATCCCGGCCATAATCCGTTCGACAAATGGTAAAACTCTTATCCTTCTTTGGCTGGAGTTTCTTCCTCCAGGATTAGAACACCCTTCTTGAGTTCCCTATTCACGCCTCCTTTCCTCCCCATAATCCAACATTCTGTACACCTGAAGTGCTTAAATACCGAATTGCACTGCCGTTTTTGTTTGTATATATCTCAAAAATGATACTAGTATTCTCATTTTTTTCTGCTCTCCTTTCCTAATAACTGGTTCTGTGCCGGGCTCAGGCTTGCCTTTAAGTCTGGCCAAACTGCGCCAATGCGGCTGTGTTTCAGAGGCCAAGCTCAAAGCACAGTAAGTGCTCAATGAAAAGTTCCTGGACTCAACGGGCTTCTTCGAGCTCTTCAGCCTGTCACCCTATTTTCTTTGCTTTCTCGCTCTGCCCCGTCCGGGAGCACTCAAACATACTCATACCACTGAGAAGGCTTCCCGAACCTAGGTTTCTGCTATGACTTGGGCCGGGGTCTCGTTTTTCTCCTTGCACTCTTCCTTAACCTCCCGGTTCAGCAAGAAACAAGAGTGACACAGAGCCCTCAGACCCACTCTGGGCCGAGTTTCTATACAAGCCCTCCCGCCCCAAACGCCGCCGCACTCTCACCGGGACCCCCTGGCGGCTCGCCGTGCGGCTGCGGCCCGGGGGCACCGCCGTCCAGGATGGCGAAGGCCTCGTCGTTCTCAATGCCCGCAATCTCGCTCTCTTGCTGCGCCAAGAAGGCCGCGGCCGGGTCTTCTTCGCCGGCACCGACCACCCCGTTCCCTAGCGCGGGGCCGCCGGGAGCGCCGGCAGGAGCGCCGAACGGATCTAGTTCAGCCATGGCGGGCAGTTCAACGGCACGGACACCGACGTTGAGCGACACGCCGACCGACCCACCAACACCGCGCCCCGCAGCGGCTGCTGTGGCGGCGACCGCGATCCGACGACAAGCGGGAGGGAGAAGACGGAAGCGGAAACCCTGCCCCTATATCCGGTTGGTGTAGGCGGTGTTGGAGAGCCGAAGGGATAACAACCAATCAGAGGACAGCGATGGTTCAAGAACTACCCAATCAGCAGGAGGAGGGGTAGGCCCCCGAGGAAAACTCGTGACTCGGGCCTCGGCGGCTGTGAGGGTGGTGAGTCCGGCGAAGCGCGAGAAAGGCGGAAGTGCCTTGACTTAAAGCAGCCTTCCCTGCCTGGCCTTTGGGGCTGCCCTGCCCGTGGACTGCCACCTATGCGGAGACTCAAGTGCCATAGCCGGAGGTGAGGGCGGCAACGGATCGATCGGTTGACTAAGGCAAGCTGCTTAGGTTTCCTGTGAACCCCCGTTTGCTCGTTTGTGAAATGGGAACGAGAATCCTACACTGCTTCCTTCGCAGTCTCCTTGGGAAGACTGAATCCTTTCACGGCTGTGTACTGGCTTTATTAAAAATTTTGTATTTGTTAATTGATTCACCCAGCCTGGATTACTTTCTCTTGTAGAGCCGCCTGACTTAAACGTAATTAAAAATTCCTGCAAATCCACTCTGGTTTTTCAACCCCACCGTATGTTTATAAAAGGGCGAATATCCCTCCTTTCCAAAGCCCTTTTGCAGCCAGTACATCTTTCTAGGGCTAGACAGAAGTTTCTAGAACTACAACACTGCTTAGGGATCACCTAGGAATTTCATATTGGAACAGGCCCCCGTCTGGGAAGGGATTTAGCACGCAGGGAGTGGTCAAGAGGAAACCCAGGTCTTCTGGGCACCTCGGTAATTGTACAGCCTCTTGTATGTACATATTTATGTCAGCTGAGGAAAACAGGAGCTTTCTGTAAAATTCGTTCAGTATTTTACATCAGGGGATTTTGTCTACACCATAGAAATGATAATGGGTGATCACTGTTATCGAGCTCTTGCCGAGATAAGCAGTGGCCAACAGGAGGATCTTTCTCCTTCACCACCACCCCCTCAAAAGGAAAAAAGCAAAAGTCAACCAGCGATCAAAGAAGTCTCCAGAGATAGCAAGGGACAGGAAAGTGGTTTTTTAAAATACACATGTAGCTTTAATGACAAAAAGTGGTAATTATTTGCTTAAAACATGTATTTTTAGTCATTTTCAGTATGGAACATAGGACAGTTTTGAAGAAAAACATTTAAGAAACTTAAAATTCTAGGGCCTGCAATTCACTCAGTTTTCTTCTCCCTCTTCTTGTTTAATGCTCATCCCTAACGTAAATTATCCACAACATAGGAAGTAGTTTCACATTCATCTTTTCCTTGAAACAATCTCTCCTGCCCTGGGCGGAGGATAATGGGAAAGGATGACCATGAAAGAGTCTAAAGAGGGCAACTGTTGAATGCTGAGGGACAGACAGCACTCACTCCTGAAAGTAAATCCATACAGCTGAAGACAAGTGTGGAGTCAACTCAGGGAGGACTTGAGTACCCAGGTGAGGATTATTCCTGAATTTCAGGGGGTATAAGGAGCCTTTGAAAGACTTTAAGCAGGCAATAACTTAGAACCCTGTTTTGAAAGAATCTTCTGGCAGCTCAGGCAGTGTAAGCGTATGAGAGGGTTCGGAAAGCAGGGAGTTCAGTTAGGAAAGGTGCTGCAGTGAACCTGCAGTGGTTCAGGAGAGGACAGGGGCCAAGGATGATATTTCAACAGAGCTCCTGTGGAAGGAAAATAATGGAGGTAATGTACAGAGCACTTGGGAAGTGACAGCATTTAGGAGGGAAGAGATTCACAGACAATATTTTTTTTTTAAAGATTTAATTTAGAAAGAATCTGAGCTGGGGGGAGGGGCAGAGGGAAAGGGAGAATCTCAAGCAGACTCCCTGCTGCTGAGCGTGGAGCCTGCCATGCGGGGCTCAATCTCAAGACCCTGAGATCATGACCTGAGCAGAAAGGTTTGACTGAGCCACGCAGGTGCCCCCACAGACAATGTTTATAGCTTAGAAAACCACGAACAGAAATAGGACAGGAAAAGCCAGTTGAGTAGGATGAGGCAAGAGATGAAGAGTTCAGTGTGACTTCTTACTGAGCACAAGGGACCTTTTAGATAATTGAGGCGTTCAACAGGATATTGGAAATCAGTCTGACATTTAGGAAAGAAGGCTCTAATTCTAGCAATGGTGGGCAGAATTGCCCATGGCCAACTCTTTGCTGCAAATAACCAGAAAAGTTGGGCAAGAAGTTTTCAAAATCTCTGAAGGCATCAGAGGACTACCAAAGCAGTGAGGAATTGTGGGCCCAAGTTCTAGGAGAGGAGGGTAAGCCAAGAAAAACGATCCTAACGTTTCAAGCCACTTTTTCTGTCAAGGAGATTGTTAGTTCTAAGAGCTGAGAAGCTGAGTAAAGCTTTCAGTAAACAAGGCTGGGAGGAGGGGCGCCCGGGTGGCTCAGTTAAGCGTCTGCCTTTGGCTGGGGTCGTGATCCCAGTCGCCTGGGATCGGGCCCTGAATCGGGCTCCCTGCTCAGTGGAGAGCCTGTTTCTCTCTTTGCCCTTCACCCCACTCGTGCTCTCTCTCAAATAAATAAATCTTTGGGGTGGGGGAACAAGGCTGGGAGGAGAAAATAGTTGAGGGCTTACCAAAAAGGAAGGACCCTGTTAACTACCAGGTTTTTAGTTGGGATCAAGATGAAAATCGACTGAAGCAGAGCTTTGAGTCCTGTAATTCCTTGATTGAATTAAAATGATCCAAGCTTTCTAGTGTCTTTAGCCTAGAGCTGCCTGCCGGAAGCAACAGTAAATTCTAATAGAAAAAAATTCATCGAAAAATAAACATGAAAAGACAACATGCTCAGAGACATTGTGAGAGACAGACTTAGAATAGAAATTCCAGAGGATTCAGATAATGGATTTATCAGACCTAGGTTTTAAAATAGCTGTGCTTGAGCTAAAGAAATTAAAATAGAGAATTTCAACAGTTTAAAAATGTGAGAACTAAAATTTAGAGTATCTGTTATTAATTCAGTGGATAAATTTAAGAGTGGATTAGACATGGCTGAAAAGAGAATTAGGGAACCAGAAGATAAGCAGAAGAGTATCGAGGCTGAACACAGAAAGGAACGTAAGAAAACATATGGGATATGAGGGATAGGTGTTGGGTTTTTTTTTTTAAGTTTTTATGTATTTTAGAGAGATAGTGTGTGCATGTGCTCACAAGGGGGCAGCGGGGGGGGGGGGGGGGGGGCGAAGACAAAGGGAGAGAATCTCAAGCAGAATTCATGCTGCAGGCAGAGCCAGATGCAGGGCTCAATCCCACGATCCCAAGGCTATGATCTAAGCCAAAACCAAGAGTTGGAGGCTCAACTGACTGAGCCACCCACGTGCCCCAGGAATAGGTTTTATAAACATGTAATTTTAGCTAGAAGGAGAGGAGAGAATGGAGCAGTGTTAGAAGATAAAACGGCTAAGAATTTCCCAAAATTGATGAAACCAAGCCACAGTTTTAAGAATCCATGAACTCCAAGCAAGATAAAAAATACCCTCCCAACAAAATGTAATGAGCACTGGGTATTATATAAGACTGATGAATCACTGACCTCTACCTCTGAAACTAATAATACATTATATGTTAATTAATTGAATTTAAATAAAAAACAAAAATACCCTCCCTAAAACAATTTAAAAAAAATTGACAGGCCTCTTGTGCATTTTTAAATTGACATCTTAATTTTTTCATAACGTAGTTGCAAAGATGTAATTTCTAATATATTGTAAATATTGATCCATTTAAATAAAATTGTTGCATTGCTCATTAAATGTATCCAATGGTGTCTTCATGATTTGATACTATTATCCATTAAAAAAAATACATTGCAAAGCCTTTTATTAACACTAAAAAATTTCAGATTCTTACTTTCGCTCCTTGAACACATACTGTCATTACAACAATTGCCCCTAAATTCTATCCCATTAGAATGTTTTTGTGCTTGACTTTTTTTTTAAAGATTTTATTTATTTTAGAGATAGAGAGCAGAAGGAGGAGCAGAGGGAGAGAGACAAGTAGAATTCGCACTGAGTGTGAAGCCCCATGCAGGGCTCGATCCCACAACCCTGAGATCATGATCTGAGCAGAAATCAAGAGTTGGACACTCAACCAACTGAGCTACCCAGGCACCCCAGCTTGAAAGACTTCTATTGATCAATGTATCATACTTATTTGTAACAATGTAATATAAATATAATTGACTTTTTGAAAATATCCCATAACCATAAGGCTCTGTTAAAATTCTGTTTTGGATTGACATAATTATTAGTAGTATACATTTTAATCAAAACAGCAAAATATTCCAGAAAATGTCATAATTATTAAATATAAAATGTAAAATTTTATTAGAAATTCCTGTCTTAAAAAGCTAGATGGGCTTGTATTATCTATTACTGTGTAACAAATTATCTTAAAACTTAGCACCTTAAGGTAACAAACTTATTATTTCCCAGTTTCTGAGGGTCAGGAATCTGGGCAGGCTTACCTGGGGTTCTGACTCGGGCTCTCTCAGGAGGTTGTAGTCAATCTACTGGCAATGTCTGCACTCATTAAAATCTTGATGGGGATAGGATAACCACTTCCAAGGTCACTCACATGGCTGTTGGCAGGAGCTGTTGGCTCCTTGCCACATGAGCCTCTCCAAAATGTTGCTTAGGACACGGAAATTGGCATTCTCCAGAGTGAGTAATCCAAGAAAAAATGACCAAGACAGAGGCATGGTATCTTTTAATAGTTTTATTGAGATACATTTCACATCCCATACAATTCACCCATGTAAAGTGTACAATTCAATGGCTTTTAGCATATTCACAGAGTTGTGCATCCATCACCACTATTTTCATTACCCCCAAAGAAATTTTACACTCCATCTTCTCAAACCCTCTAACTCTAGGCACTAAGTTTCTACTTTTTGTCTCTATAAGTTTGCCTAATATGGACATTTCATGAAAATGGAATTATACAATAGGTGGTTCTTTGTGACTAGCCTCTTTCA